CCTGTTTTGATTGATTTTTCTCTAAAAGATTTTAACACTTTTCCCTTAAATTTGTAAGAATAAAATCATACTATAATGTCTCTAGGAAATTCAGCAGGGATATTTTGAGGCTTAATCAGTCTGACATCTTTCAATGTTATCGTCTTAGTCGTTTATTGATAAACCCAAATCGTTAAAGTATTCTTTCAGAATATATTTCAGATCTTCTTGATTACTTGATTCTTCTATATTCCTAAATGCAGGTTTTTTCTTCTTAGACGATCTTCCAAGTCATTGATCTTTAAATCTAGTGTATTCATTTTTGCCAATGTTTTCTAATTTTCTTCTTTTATTTTATTAACCTGGAAGTCTATTTCCACAAACTGATCTACAAATTTCTGGATTTTTATTGCTAGTTGATTCATTTCATGTTTAATTTCTTGCTTGATCTCAAGCGAATTAGTTAAAATTTCTTTCTTAATTTCCAGATTTCTTTTTTTTTTTTTTTTTTTGCTGACTTGCATTAAGCTGTTCTTCTGTAGCCATTCCTTTGTCTTTTTTTTCCTTCTGGTTCCAGTGTGTCTAAGCTTGCACTTCAATCTTCCATATTCTGTGTAAGAGTTCCAATTTGGTGTTCTTTGTTGATGGGGGGGGAACGGGGGGATATGTTGTTAAACTCTTATCTTGCAATTGTTCTTTTTTGTCCTTTTTAGAAAGGGCTTTAGAATCTTGTATCTTTTTGGTAGCCATTTTAGATTTATTGCACCTTTTCTGGCCTCTTCTCTTTCCATTTTTCCCCCCCTTTACTTCTTTCTTTTCTTTTTACTTTTCCCTTTCCTTTTTTTTTTTTCTTTCTTTACTTCCTCTTTCTGTCTTTTGATATACCACGAAAACATCTTTTTTATATTATTGAGGTTATCCTTTTCTTTTCTTTTCTTTCCCTTTCCCTTCTTCTTCCTTCCTTATTTCTCTCCTCATTCTTTTCCTTGTCTTCAATACACTTCTCTGCTGGATTTTCCTTTTATTTTTTACATCACTGTCACTTTTATACAAATTGGGCTCAGTTATAATTTGCTTCTTTTTTTTTTTTTTCTTCCCTCCTTCCCTTTTTTTTTTTTTTTTTTATGTAATTTTTTTTTCTTTTCTTTTTTAGAACGGCAGCTCTCCCACCTTCCTTCCCCACTTAATTGGTTTACTCACTCCTTTATAAAATATTAAATTTATATTCAGTTATATTAGATTATATTCACTTATCTTATGAAGTGTCTTTCAATATAGGTGCTTCATCCTATTTCAGCTGCTTTGACTCAAGGACTTTGACGTTGCCCCGATAAGCTTGCGTTGTAATTCCTGAGGGAACTTCACAACCTCGAATTAGGGTTGTTTTTCTACTCGCTCTCCACTCATCCGTCTTGAGCCTCGTGGGATTATTAACTTCCGTATTCATGACTGCCGTTAGCGTTGAGCTACCCGGTAAATTACTTGATTGTGTATAAGTAACCGAGCAACCGGAACACCATGCTAGCCAAAACGCTTGCATTTACAGAAACCTCCAGCCACCGGTTATCACTCGAGCGGGAAGTTCAGGTCCCATCAGCTCCACTCCATCAGCGGTTCCCCTCCTCACGGCGTGGACGTCACCATGTCATCACGCACCTCCTGTCTGATATAATTATGTTGCCAGAAGAAACCTATTTAATAGTATTTTTGATTGCATAGATATTTTTCTAAATTGTGCTTTGAGCACATATGCTTTGGCAGGGTAAGTTTTTGAACCAACAGCATAAAAGAATGGCTTTCAAGGTTGAACATGATGGGCTTTAGTCTTTTTTAACCTGGACTACTATGTAACCTAAGGTGTTCCATTTATAAATTGCCTTGGTGGTGGCAGCTTTTGACATTAGAGATACGTATGGTTGCTATTAAGAGTGATTTTTTTTTTTTTTAATCATAATTTTCAAGCTTGTGAAGATAAATCGTAACTTAGCTTTTAATACTTTTCCACCGAAGCAAGTCATGGGCATACTTTGCATTCACTACCAATTCCTAACAATTGGTACTTCAGTGAATAAGGCTTGGAGGCCTATGGTGCTCTGTTTGCTTTGATCAGCAGTCTATGCATTGAAATACATTATAATGCATGTCAGTCAATGCATAGACATTCACAGTTACGGATTTACTTGGAAACACACAGAGATTGATAAATAATAGACATTATTTATAAATGTTTGCCGTGTCGCATTTATTTACCAGTTTCACAGTAATTTGCATTTGATGATTATCTCCGATTGGAACAGAACTACCATTACACAATATCCTTTGATTTATTTGTATATTTTATTTTGGTATCTGTACCTCGCTCAATAGAACCTCGCTTGGATCACACTGTTAGTTGCACTACATTGTTTCGAATAACTGCTTCAAATATCACCCTGATGAAATTGATTTAGTTCCTAAATGTTTAAGTGCCTAATTATCTCGTGCTAAGTGGAGCTAAACGGCATATTTGAAAAACTTTTAAATGGTAAATGTAGTTCTTCTTTGTCTGCTTCAGACTGTGTCACGTGGCAAATACTAATTGCCCTCATTTCAGTGTTTAAAAACCCACATCCTGCTCCAAACTTGATTTCTTAATGTGACTTTTAAGGACCGACATGGTTCCATTGAATACTGCTCTTTCTATAACATTTTTTTTTTTTTATATAACTGCAGGTGTTGGATTAAAGTGTGATGTATCTGACACTTTACAGCAACGTTTTCAAATGTCTGCCTTATTGCAGGTTCAACATTACATGTTAATGTCAAGTGTTTGGATGACTAAAGCTTTTTAGACTTCATACAAACTATTTAATTTCAGAAGGTAGGCCTCTTGATAAAGAAAGCCACTAGTTCCAGGTGCCCCTAACATTCTAGGGTTTAACATAGTCCTTTTATAAAATCCTGTTATATAATGTTACTTACCTTAATGCACATGTTCTGTTTATTGAGGCTGTTCTTAATGCCGCTGTAAATTTGTAAGGATAAAATACATTCATATAATTTTTTTTTTTTTTTTAAATCATGTGATTTTAAAGGAAGTAATCACTTTTAACCAGACCAGACATAAATAGGCTTATGAAATGATATGCATTGCTAATAGAATACTTTTGCTGATGCAACATCTGCATGTAAAATGTATGCCCGCGTATTAAACTCTTCCTTTGAAAATACAGTACCTGAAGTCAGGGCTAGTTACTATAAACAATTCTCTTCCTCACACAGTCATGTTATAGTAAAAAAAATTAAAAAAATAAATAAAAAACATTCTGTTTCTGTTGGAAACAGGACAGGCTGATCATCAAAGGTGGAGAGAACCTAACTAGGTGGAGTTACAAAGGTGGCGCTACAATAGGGCAAGGCCAAACATATAATTGCGTTCGGCACAGCATCAAGTTGCATTATTTAAAAATCTTTTTCATTTAGTTCAGTGGGCAAAATGAAACCTCAGATTTTGCCAATATTGGCAATAAATGTCAATTTCCACTACGATTTTGTATTTGTAGTACAAATACAATAATTACATTACCAATACATTTTTGCACTAAAGTAAAATCTAATGTATGTGTTTGTGTATGTATGTGTATGTATGTATGTTATAAAGATGGGATGTGTAGTTTTAAAGTTACAGTGTATGGCTAAAAACTGTATTTTTACTGCCTGTGTGTGAGGAACTGACTCTGCTGGGTTTCGAACCCTGGTTTACATGGTGCTAAACCTCTTCCTTACCAGTACTCCAGCCTGCCTTTTGCAAATTTACCTGAGATCTGATACCATTGCTTGTAGAGTCAAGGTTATCAGTGACAACTCTCTTCAGCTGTGTCTGGTCAGGTGTCTGGTTCTTGGCCTATAAAAGCCACTTCCTGTCTCTGTACCTTTGCCAGATTATTGTGGTTCCTGTACTCTCTAATCAAGCGTGTTCCTGTTTCTCCTTCCTGTTGCTGAATTTGGACTGTTTTGACTTTGCTGCTTCTCCTTCCCACTGACCTCGGCTTGCCTCACTACGATTATCATCATTCTGTTCCAGTCTCCCATCTCTGCTTAAGACCAGAAGGCCACTCAAGGATCAGGGGCTCAACCACCTGGGTAACGAGTGGCTACCTCTGGCAGAAAACATTGCTGATCTGGCTACTGGACTCCAAAACTTTGTAACATCAATATCATTACAGAATAATCTGGCCCATTCATGGAGACCGTCGGATCAGATTCTGCATTGGCCCAGCAGGTTGCTTTTAATGCAAGAACTATGCAGACCCAGGCACAGACCATTCAAGTGCTGCAGGATCAGGTAGCTGAACTGCAAAATGAAGTTCGATCAATGCATAGTGAGCTTACCAGCTACAGGGCACATGATGTTGCGGCTGCTGCTACTACTACTGTTACACCTGCACAAGATGCCCGCTTGCCTCTACCAGAAAAATTTGGAGGAGACCGCAAAAAATTCAGGGGTTTCCTAAATCAATGCCGTTTGCATTTCATGATGTTACCTAACCGTTTTCCATCTGAAAGAGAGAAGGTGGGATTTATTTTTTCCCTCTTCAAAGATGAAGCCCTGGCCTGGGGCTCCCCTTTTCTGGAACAGGACAGTCCAGTCTTGGGAAATTTAAAAGACTTTCTTGAGGCCATGTGCCTAGTTTTTGATGATCCCAATCGCTGTGCTACAGCAGAAGCCACTCTCCTTCATTTACATCAAGGGAGGCGCTCTGTGGCTGAATATGCTGCTGAATTCAGACAGTGGGTTACTGATACTACTTGGAACCAATCAGCCCAGAGGTTCCACTTCAGAAGGGGTCTCTCAGAAGCTATAAAAGATGAGCTAGCTCGTGTTGATCTTCCTGTTGAGTTTGATGCATTTGTGCGGTTGGCTATCCGTATTGATCGGAGACTTTCAGAAAGAAGATTGGAAAGACAGGGCTCTTTTAAACCAAGTGCTACTCCTACTTTCTATTCAAGAATTTCTACTCCGACCCCACAAACACCTACAGACTCTGAACCTGAGGCTATGCAGGTAGATCTAATAAGAGGGCCATTATCCAATGAAGAAAAACAGTGGCGACGCACTCACAACTTATGCCTGTATTGTGGTAGTGCAGGGCATTATGCCATCAATTGCCCTAACAAGTCTAAAAGAACAATAGCTATGACTGCTGAGGGTGCACAGATTCAACACCAATCCCAGATTTCAGACCAACTGGATTCTGTCACACAACCTTTGTTTTCTCTGGCTCAGGGTGAAGAAGGTATGATGACTCAACATCCTCATTTGGTGGTGCCTATCACTTTGCAATATGGTGATAATAAAATTTCAACTACAGCTATCATAGATTCCGGAGCAGGCGGAAACTTTATGGACATTAAATTTGCAGCAGGAAATAAAATTCAGTCTATCCCTAAATCTTCACCTGTGTTAATGGAAACAGACGGTTCTCCACTTACGTCAGGCCCGGTTACACATGAGACTGTGCCCTTAAAATTGATTCTGGAAGTGAATCACCATGAGTCTATATCGTTCCACCTAATTTCCTCAACACAGTTTCCAGTGATTTTGGGTATACCCTGGCTTGCTCTGCATAACCCACAGATTGATTGGCAGACTAGAACGTTGTCCTTTCCTTCAGAACACTGCTTAATGAATTGTCAACCCTCTAAGGCGACACCTGTTACCACAACAATTAATGAAATGGTTGCTACAAACTTAACTAAGCTTCCGCTACAATATCGGGATTTTGCAGATGTCTGTGATAAGAAGAATGCTGATCAGCTTCCACCTCACAGGCCTTATGATTGCCCCATAGAGCTGCTACCTGGAGCTGCTATCCCATTTGGCCGTATATACTCCCTTTCTGAGCCTGAATTGAAAGCACTTCGTGAATACATACAAGAAAATCTTGCCAAAGGCTTTATTCGACCATCCACTTCTCCAGCAGGAGCTCCTATATTCTTTGTAGAAAAGAAAGATGGCAGTCTACGGCCATGTGTCGATTACAGGGACATTAATAAAATCACTGTTAAAAAACGTTATCCCTTGCCTCTCATTCCTGAACTTCTGGAGAGACTTCGTAAAATATTTACAAAGCTTGATCTACGGGGGGCATATAATCTGGTTCGCATAAAACCAAATGATGAATGGAAAACAGCTTTCAGAACCAGGTACGGACATTACGAATATCTAGTAATGCCATTTGGGCTTTGTAATGCCCCTGCAACTTTTCAGCATCTAATCAATGATGTACTACGGGATCTCCTGGATCAGTTTGTTGTGGCATATTTGGATGATATCCTGATATTTTCTGATAATCTTGAAAATCACAGAAAACAGGTCTGCATTGTTCTTGAGCGCCTTCGTACCCACCACCTATACATTAAACTGGAAAAATGTGAGTTTGAACAAACAGAAATTCAGTTCCTGGGGTATGTAATAACTCCTAAAGGTTTAAGTATGGACGCAAGTAAAATTAAAGCTGTGCTGGACTGGCCCATCCCCAAGAATGAAAAAGATATACAGAGATTTGTGGGGTTTGCCAATTTTTACAGGCGTTTCATTAAGAATTTCTCTGCCGTTATTACACCGATCACTGAACTTACACGTAAAGGGACTCCTTTTCAGTGGTCCAATAAGGCTGACACTGCATTTTCCAGATTAAAGACTCTGTTTACATCTGCCCCTATCTTGGTACATCCTCAGCCAGAATTGCCATTTACTGTAGAGGTAGATGCTTCTGATTCAGCTGTTGGGGCTATACTGTCTCAAAGGACTGGACCTAAGATGTTGTTACATCCATGTGCCTTCTATTCCCGCCAGATGTTACCAGCAGAAAGAAATTATGACATAGGGAATAAAGAACTTTTGGCTATAAAAGCTGCCTTCACCGAATGGAGACATCTCTTGGAGGGAGCCACCCATCCAATTACTGTCCTCACAGATCACAAAAATCTGGAATGTATCCAATCCGCTAAGAGACTGTCAGCCAGACAAGCACGCTGGTCCCTATTTTTCTCAAGGTTTAATTTTTTTATTTCATACCGCCCTGGTTCAAGAAATGGCAAGGCGGATGCCTTGTCTAGGATAGCTGACCCCCTCCATACTACAGTAACCAAGACCACCATCTTGCCGGAGAGCAGATTTTTAGGAGTTACCTTTCCTTCTGATCTAATGTCTCGCATTAAAAAGGGCTACTCTAAAGATCCAGTTTTTCGTGATCCTCCTCGTGATCTTCATATGACCATGCTTAATGGGTTTTGGATTTTTCAGCAACGTCTGTTTGTTCCAGAATCAGTGCGACTGGACGTTTTATGCCTCTACCATGACTCTAAACCAGCAGGTCATCCAGGAATCCGAAAGACACAAGAACTACTTACCCGATCCTTTTGGTGGCCTAAATATTATGAGGATGTTAAGAAGTATGTGTCCTCTTGTGATGTATGTGCCAGACATAAGACTCCTTGCTCATCCCCTGTTGGCTTGCTTCAGCCTCTTCCGATTCCTCATTGTCCCTGGGGATCTATATCCATGGACTTTATTGTGGAACTACCTCCCTCTAAGGAACACACTACCATTCTTGTTGTTGACCGGTTAACCAAGATGAGTCATTTCATACCAGCTCGTGGTCTCCGTTCAGCTAAACAGACTGCTGACCTAGTTATTCGGGAAATATTTCGCTTGCATGGAGTGCCTGATGAAGTAATTTCTGACAGGGGAGTGCAGTTTACATCTCATTTTTGGAAATATTTTTGTTCTATTCTAGGTATTAATGTAAATCTGTCTTCAGCTTTTCATCCACAAAGTAATGGACAGACTGAGCGAACCAACCAGACTTTAGAACAATATTTGCGGTGCTATATTAGTTACCTGCAGGATGACTGGCTGGATTTTCTACCCACGGCGGAGTTTGCCTATAACAATGCCCAACACTGCTCCACTTCTCTGAGCCCATTTTTTGCCAATTATGGTTACCATCCAACCTTTCTAGTGAGTCTCCCAATTACTACTCCCATTCCTGCAGTCACTGACCGGCTAACCGCCTTACGAGATTCCCAAGAACTGTTGAAGGAGACTCTTTCGGAGGCTCAGGAATGTTACAAAAGAGCTGCTGATAGGCACAGAAAGGAGGCCCCAGTTTATCATGTTGGTGACAAGGTTTGGCTGTCAACAAAGAATCTTAAGCTTAGGATTCCTTCTCATAAATTGGGTCAAAAGTTCATGGGACCTTTTAAGATAATCGCTCAGATCAATGCAGTCACCTTCCGTCTGCAACTTCCGGATTCCATGAAAATACATCCGGTGTTTCACGTGGCACTGCTTAAACCTTTTCATGAAAATACTTTCCCTGGTCGAGCCTTGCCTGCCCCACCACCAGTCCTCGTGGATGGTGAAGATGAATACGAGGTGGAAAAAATTCTTGACTCCAAGATCTTCCGCAACAAGCTTCAATATTTGGTTCATTGGAAAGGCTATGGTGAGGAGGATAGATCGTGGGAACCAGTGGACAATATTCATGCTCCTGATCTTCTTCAGTCTTTCCATGCACAGTACCCTGCTAAACCAGGAAATAGAGCATCCAGAGGCTGCGCCTGTAGAGGTGGAGGTAATGTGAGGAACTGACTCTGCTGGGTTTCGAACCCTGGTTTACATGGTGCTAAACCTCTTCCTTACCAGTACACCAGCCTGCCTTTTGCAAATTTACCTGAGATCTGATACCATTGCTTGTAGAGTCAAGGTTATCAGTGACAACTCTCTTCAGCTGTGTCTGGTTCTTGGCCTATAAAAGCCACTTCCTGTCTCTGTACCTTTGCCAGATTATTGTGGTTCCTGTACTCTCTAATCAAGTGTGTTCCTGTTTCTCCTTCCTGTTGCTGAATTTGGACTGTTTTGACTTTGCTGCTTCTCCTTCCCACTGACCTCGGCTTGCCTCACTACGATTATCATCATTCTGTTCCAGTCTCCCATCTCTGCTTAAGACCAGAAGGCCACTCAAGGCTCAGGGGCTCAACCACCTGGGTAACGAGTGGCTACCTCTGGCAGAAAACATTGCTGATCTGGCTACTGGACTCCAAAACTTTGTAACATCAATATCATTACACTGTGTTTAATTATGTTAATCTCTTCCAAACGTCATTTCGTTCAAAGTGGAGAGAATGTTAAAAAAATATATTTTTGTTCGGAGTGTGAGAAATTATTTTCAGCCGCTTCTAATCTTAAGCATCATTTGAGGAGCCATACAGGAGAGAAACCTTATTTGTGGTGTGTTTAGTATTGTTCTGATCAGTTTAATACCTTCCGCGTCTCCTATCAGTGGACGTGTATATGGCAGTGATTTCTGTAACAGGGAGATGGAAGAAGATGCTTGGTCGGTCCTCTTACTTCAAATTTAAAAGCGTCTTTAAAGCGTCCTGTCCTTGCCGGCGTGGTCGTGGGAGGAGGAGGATGACTTCCACCTCTCCCCCTGTTAGATTCCCGTTGTGCTGTGACATCACCCTTATACGCTGTGTAAAGCATACTTTTTAATTTATTTTGCAAATGCTGCATCCTTTCCGACTTGTTGTAATTCGGTAACATTTCCGCCACCAGATAGGAGTGGTATGTTTATTACTGTTCTGATCAGTTTAATACCTTCCGCGTCTCCTATCAGTGGACGTGTACATGGCAGTGATATCTGTAACAGGGAGATGGAAGAAGATGCTTGGTCGGTCCTCCTAACTGGAGACTGTGTTGCTGTACGGGTGTCAGGTGGAGCCATTTATAAAGTACCCACTGCTTTGCAGACCAGGTATCAGTGGTCAGATGGACCCTTGCCCCATGCCATGCCATTACTTCCTTTTGCACAGTCGAGTACAGGTTGGGGATTGCCTTTTGTGCAAAGAAATTTTGGCCGGGTACCTTCCACTGCGGTGTCCCAATAGCTACAAATTTTTTGAACGCCTCAGACTCCACCAGCTTGTATGGTAAAAGCTGGCGGGCTAATAGTTCGGACAAGCCAGCAGTCAGACGCTGGGCAAGGGGGTGACTTTCTGACATTGTCTTCTTACGCTCAAACATGTCCTTGACAGACACATGACTGTGGGCAGATGAGCGGGAACTGCTCAAGGCGGGAGACAGAGTGGCGGATGGTTGAGAGGGGGCAAGGAGGACAGCAGTGGTTGACGTGGCTGAAAATGCTGGACCAGGAGGAGGATGGCGGCTTAGAGTAGGCGTGCTGCTTG